CAAAATCTACAAGACTGTAAGTAAAACTCTGTAAAAAAAATAATAAAAGCTGATCTCTCCAGTGAAGGTTATTTGTATTTCAGCAACAAGGCAATTCAAAGTGCTTCACACCACGAAACATCATCCGTTATGAAACATAAAATAAACATTTCCAGCTATTATTAATCAAAGGCAACTTTAAACCTGTGGGTTTTTAACTTTGATGTACAGGAACAGTTTCAGCTGTTGTGCAGTTGAGCAAACTTCCACTAATCCAAAGGTTTGCTCCAGATTGGAGGAGCATGAAAACTGAATGCTGCTTCTCTGTGTTGGGTCTTCTGGTTCTGGTCTGCTATGAGCCAGAACCAGAGAGGTCTGGAGGGTTGATACAACAACAGAAACAGGTCTTTAACGCATGTTGGTGCTCACCAATAGAATATCTTTCTCCTGATTTTATATTTGCATTGAGTGTTAATCTTGCAATATTAAATTAAATACCATTGAGGAGAGTAATAAAATGGGGAGAGGGTTTGCAGTCCGTCTAATTTATGCACCTTTTTCAAACTTGTTTTTACAACAGATCGGTTTAGAAAAGTGTTTCTTCTCTTGTTGACCTGAACTTCTTTCTTTGTCGCTGGCAGGAGCTGCTGGCTCATGTGGAACAGGGAATGGGAAAGAACCTGGCGTTCCGCTGCTCCAATGCCATCAACGCCTCTGTCCAGTCTTCTCAGCAATACATGATGGGTAACCGACTAAAATCCCAACAGATTTATAGAAAACACATTTTACTGGCTCATTTTGACTAAACCTAATCAGAAGCATTTGATCACCTGACTGTGCTGTATTTATCCTTGCTGAATGCATCACTGCATGCCTCATTATGCGACAAATGCATCACGGTTTCAGACCTGCATGCAGGCTGCCCTCTGTGACACTGATGCAGGTAAACTGATAATGCGGTCGTTGATAAAATATAAATGCGAATGTTTTTCGTGTGTGTAACATTTCAGAGAGCATGGTGCCTCTGCTTCCCTCGACGGCTCAGAGCCAAGTCCACATGCTGGTTCCCAAAAAGACGTTCGACCTGAGCTATGACCTGAACTGTGCTGCCATTTGCAGCGACTTCCAGGAAAACATCGAGTTCCAATTCTCGTTGGGCTTGAAAGCTTTGGTGCACCGCTACCTGGGTTCTGTCAATGCACAGAGAGCTCTCAAACTGGTAGATCCAAACTTCCAGGTACTTTCTGAGGTGAACATGATGAAACGTCATGTTGAGTATTTGGGGGTAAACCAGCCTGAAGTTGAAGTTGTGTCATTCTGTAGAACTCTAGAGCTGTAGTTCCTGTAACGCCTTCGTCTGAGCCGCCATCCTTCGCAGCGCCGCCCAACAACGAGAAGGCTCTGATGACCCAGGAAGACCTGATGATTGCCATGGCAACCAACTTGGCATCCATCACTTCCCGCACCTCGATGGGCATTGTTGTTGTTGGAGGAGTGGTATGTCCTTTAATTATGGTCTAAATGCATCCTTAAAGAATCTGGAAAAAATTAAGACTTTAAAATGTCTTTAATGAATTTAAAACACTTAAGTTCAGGCCACAGGTCTTAAATGTTGTCATTGCAGGACTAATTAAAGAAGATTTTTATTTTCTTGTCAGGCTGAAGTTTGAATCACACACAAATGACTTCATTTCATTCTTTGACATGAGGCGGTTGAGGCTACATGTTGTTGCCAACATACCCTTGCTAGCTAGTTTATTTATTTATTGTTTTTGCCTTCATCATGACCACAAAGCCAATTTCAGTTTTTTTCTATACTTGTCTGTAAAGCAGCAAGTTCCCACAACCATCCTGTTTATGATTTTAAATGTCCTTCAAGGTGCCATTAAAAAGGTCTTAGATTTAAACTTGCCATTTAACAGTTTGTCTTAAAGCCTCTGACTGTTTTTTTTTTTTGCTCTCAAGGTGTGGAAAACGGTGGGCTGGAGGGTTATTGCCCTGTCGGCTTCCCTCTACGGCCTGGTGTACTTGTACGAGAGACTCACCTGGACCACAAAAGCGAAAGAGCGAACTCTGAAGCGGCAGTTTGTGGAGTTCGCCTCTGAGAAACTGCAGCTCATCGTCAGTTTCACAAGTGCAAACTGCAGCCACCAGGTCCAACAGTAAGTCCTGACATCACAGAAGCTGCCTGTCCAATAACCTGGTGACTGAAAGATCATTTTGTTTCGTGTTGGAATAAATTCAAGAGCTATATTCATAATATTGATGTGCAGTATTGTGAAAAACCCTGTTGAAATATATTTTCCCCTCATCGTGACTTCCTCCTCCTCTGTTTGCAGGGAAATGGCCACGACGTTCGCTCGGCTCTGTCAGCAGGTGGATCAGACGGAGAGAGAACTGGAAGCAAACATCCGTCAGCTGACCACAAACATAGACGAGCTGGAGACGGTCCAGAACTGCTCAAAGACTCTGCGGTGAGTCCTGAACACTTTCTCATGAGTATAACAACAAGGGGAATAGTTTGTAGCTTTTCAGGTAATTCAGCAAGTTTTCCCTTGTCTAGCAAAACTATTAATACTCCTTAAACTATTTTGCAGACTTTAATGGATTTTCTGAAATATACCAGCAGAAAATGTTTCCATCTTTGTGAAAAATGATTTTCAAAAAATGTAAAACATTTGAAATGGGCCTTGCTTTTACAGAAACGTTGTCGAACTCACTTTTTCTCCAGGTACAGCTGCAGACTCCATCTTTGTACATCTCCAGATAAAACTGATGTCCTTTTGTTTTCCTTTTTGCAAAGCAGCTTAAATTTAGCTAAATTAGAATCTGCTAACTAAAAGGGGACATATTTTGCTTTCTTGAACAAGTTGGGGCAGGTTCGTGTTTCTCACATTTTGTTTTTGCACAAAATGCTTCAAAAACCAGCTGACCAAACATACTGGAGCTGGGGTTGCTTGGCAACAGGGCAGCACTCGCTGATTGAGACTTTTTGAAACTGCTCGATTTTCAGACACCGACAAAACATTTAGTTGTTGCCAAACAGTAGACGAGAAACTTCTTTGGTAAATTTGGTTCATGTTTTAAACATTTTCTGTTTTCTGTGCAGGCACAAAGCAACAGAGCTGGAGAAACAGCTGGAGGATTTTACCAAGCAGTACCTGCAGCCTGAAGACTGAAGCCGCCCGTCTTCATTTCACCGCAGTCTGGCTCTTATGGAGTCGTCCCGCCCACCACGGCGATGCCGGAAACTGAGTCAACCAAAACATGGAGCTCTTTCCGCACGCCACCGGAGGCAAAGCTGATGTTCCTCTGAACAAACGAACCTACAATGTTTTTCAGATATGAAGACTTATTTTGGGTTGTGAAAGATTCTTTTTTTTTTTTTTGTTGCTCAGAAAAACCCTTTGCTAATTTTGTAGGTTTCACTGGAAAGATGAAGTATTTTCCCGGTTCTTAATCCAGCCAGAAACATCAGGTGCTCACAAGAAAAGGATTTGAATTAAAAAGGAAAAATCTGCCTCAATGAACTGTGGTTGTGAAATTTCTCTCCACCAGGTGGCGGCCTGCATTGGTTAGGTTGCCGCGTGTTGGATTCAGTTTTGACACTAACCTTTTGTGACTTTAATTGTAAAGATGCCTTTTTTTTATTATTCTGTTGATGGAGAAAATAAAGACTTGTGCAGACGTTTGTTCAAAACGGAATTAGTTGTAAGTGGGGAGGAAAAAAAGTTATATCAAAAGTGTAAGAAAATAGTAATTATATGCACTGTAATCGTGAGTTGGAAGGAAAGCATGTACTGTAGTTTTATTTCTATTTTCTAACAATTCAAACTGTATAGTTCAAAGACTTTATCATCAGATATTTTATATTATATTTTATTTATACATAGTTCAATGGGCTTGCAGTTACACATCACTGCATTTTGTAAACTTTTGTTTCCTCAAAAAATGTGTATCAAAATTTGCTAGATTGCATTAAACCGGAAATGATCTAAAACTTGACTGTTTGTTTTTATATTTTGACAATACGGCACCTTTTCTACGCGCATTTAAGTTGGGGTTGTCAAAAGTCCGAATGGTGACTTAATTCGTATGACTCCCAACCAGAATTAAAACTGATACCTTTTCAAAACCACAACGTGCGCAATGGGTGGAGATTGAAACGTTTAACGTTTTTATTGGGACATCATTTTTACTGACTTGTGCAGTCATTTCTGACGTGGCCCTGGCAGACGTCATGACCTTGACAAGCCAAAGTGTCCACTGGGACGTCGCTTCTCTACGTCCAGGATCCATTCTGGTATCAAAAGCAGAACCACCACATGCTGTTTTCAAGTTGACAAGCAGAACTGCTGTTAGGATGACGCCTTTGCCTTGTTATTTTATTTGATCCATTTTTATGTTATCTAATGCATTTTACTTTAATGTTTGATAACCCCAGCGTACTGTTTTGCTGGATATTATTTGCTTTAGAATGAATGACAACATTTGTGTGATTTTTTTTGATGACAGCTGCAGTCCTCCTAACAGCTGGTTTTGAGTATTTGCTTGACCTTGGGTCCATTTGCAGCCGAGTGCGTCGAGACTCTCCTGTCGACATGGACAGTTTTAGCAAATGTATTTTTTGTTTACTGCTTACCAAAGATCAGCTCATGTCTATTTAATTGAATGACATGTTCTCGTTCTTTTCCCACCTTTTCTCATGGTATATTTATAAACCAACAACACAAGAAATTAGCTACTAATGGAAAAAAAAAACTCTTAAAAGTTCAAATCAACTAAATGCACATGTATTTTGTTTTCATCCCACTTGGTGATTATGTGCAAGTTTCTCAATGTAGGTTTCCTGGCCTACAACTTGAGATGGTTGCATATTTACAGTTTTTAATGCAATTACACTAAGCCGTAATAACATTTTTAAAATCATTTTACAAATGAAATAGGGTACAATGTGCTGTAAAGCTTTAATAAACAAAAGTTTAAAAAAAACCCCAACAACTAATCAATGAGAATTGACATTGTTGATTAAAAGCTTTTTTATTGGTTACAATAACTCATGGCAACATATCAGTATCACCAAGCCACTGTACAAATACAAAAAAAGGTCTGGTGTGAAAAAGACTATAAAAATTATCTCATAACAAGTGATTATAATTTCACACAGTAGCACTGTAAAGAGAGTTATGATGGCACCAAGTCCCCGGTCTTTTAATGGCTTCGAACAAACAAATAAATAAAGAAAAAAAAACCTGAAATAAAAACCAGAATGTCAGGACAGTCGGCTGTAGTCAAAGAGCAGTGCAGTACTGTGGTGTTAGTGCAACAACAACAACAGAAAAATGAAATAAAAGAAGCAGGGGTGCACTGTCAATAAAACTGAAGCTCGATTACAGACTGAACTCATGCAGCGGCTACAGGACCAAACTGTCAGACACATGAAGGACGTTACTTATTCCACACTGAACCTCTGGCTGTGAGCGCGCACATGCGGTCAGTCTGCAACGTCAGCCGCCCTGATCGGTCGGAAAACTGGAGGGGAAAGAAGAAAAAAAAAATCCCAAACATTCGGGGAAGCAACACTGACGAAAAGCACCCTTGTTGGATTTACAGGTTTACTGTTCGACCTGCATGAGTGAAGTGCACAGGCACATGAGAGTGTTTCTGCTCCAGGATCCAGCGGCTAACAATGCAGAAATATACAGGCATAAAAGGTTTATTTACCGAATATCATAAGCGTCTCATACTGGCTGTTTCTCAGCTGTTAAGGGTCATGGGTTTCTTTTTTTTAATTTTTCATAAGATTCATACAGCAATAGTGAGAAACTGACACATTCAACATTTAGGGAAGATGAAAAGAAACATCCAACATAATACAAAGATACTATGTGATAGTAGGAAATAATCCTAGGCCATCATGAATTATGCTGTACCCTTTAAAACAGGTTTCAAAGGGTACAGCATTTTAAATACAGTTCTTTATAGTTTCCACACTATTACCGTTTCTAGTGAGGAAGGAAGAAGAGCAGTGGTGCTTTTTCAGCAAGCTGACCAGCAGCCCACAGCAAAACGTTGCTGTTCCTTTATGGTCAACGCAGCTGGAGAAAACGCCAGTCAATTCAGCAGGATTTTTCATTTATTTATTTTTCAAGAATAAAAAATTAGATTGTAAATGATTCTTTGAAACATTTTCTTTTAGCTTTGGTGTAGCTTGATATCCTCAATCAGCTCATGTCCAGGAGTCCAAATGTGTTTTCACTGTGAAGCTGGAACACTCAAAGTTCCCAGCAATGGTCAAGATTCTGGCCTGACCAGCTTTCCAGCTGAGAAAACTGCAGCTGCTAGATCTGCCATCCTGACCAAAGCAGCATCACTGCCAGGGGAGCCAATAATCAGATGTGGGTTTTTTCTTTTTTTCTTTTTTACTTTAAAATGATCCATTTTTCAGATTAGATTCAGTCACCTCTTAAAGAGGTAAAAATATTCATCCTGACAACAGAACATATACATTTGGTGATGACTGCTTTGATTAAAACCAAATTCCTGCTGCATTAGTGTTCAGAGACAAAAAAAAAAATATAGAACTAAAGAATGCAGCTCAAGTTACATTGTTACAGGTTAAGAAAACCCATAATGTCAAGAATGTACTGCTGATGGAGTTGAGAGAAAATTAGACCCAAAACGTTAAATGTTTCTCCAAGCATCTTCTTGTTGAACAGTCAGAGAGAGCGAGAGTACTCCCAAAATGATGTCCTGTCTCTTTAAATCCAAACCTTTTAGTCCTGTAATTAACACATGAACATCTGAATGTCTCTGAGCTTGGTAGAGGAAATGACACTTATGGTAAAAAGTCACTGAGAGACAGAAGCAGTCAGCCAATCAGATCAAACAGACTGGGGGGAAAATGACAGAGAAAGTTGGCACTTGATTAACGCTAGCAATGTTTTTTTTTTTGTTTTATTTTACAGACTAGTTTTCGGTTCACAGCTCAGGGTCTGTGGAGCACATTGGCACAGATGAATGAGGAAGTAACACTTGAACATCAGAATACACCCGGTCCATCTACCCACTGATATGCAAGACATTTCACATCCTACACATCTCTCCAGGATATCCTACAAACTATCCGCCGTTCACAACCATTCCCTCAGGATGAGTTATTTAACTTCAAAAGAAGAGTAAAAATCACACGAAACCTTTAAAGTGAAAGGTTGACCAGAACCACGGCTCTTTAAAAGAGGGAATAACTGACGGCTGAACCAACCAGAAATACAAACGTTTCTCTGTTAGTTGAAAGCAGATTTATACATACATACATTAAAAAAAAAATACAAAGAATAAAAGAAGTGAGGCATTAAGAAGTGGTGAGGAGTGGTGTGGTTTTCCTCTAAGCGTTCCTCTTAGTGTTCACTGGAATCAGTGTTTGCTTCTGCTGGGCGGAAAGAACGTTCTCACTCACACGGCTCCTGAATGCCACACTTTACAAGTCATTTCTGAGCCATGGTTCGAGTATAAAGACAAACATTTACTATGAACTTCAGACATGTCCCCTCAGGAAACAGGCTTTAGATATGGCATCTAGAAAACAAGGCGGCAAAGAAGGAAAGATTTCTCGTTGGATGAGTGAAAAATGGACAATCAGTGGAACGCATGAGATGTCTGATAGATTGGCTCATGGGCAGAGAAACTGATGGATTATTTGTAGGGTTGATAAACTGAAGGATGGCCAGATTGACAGATTGGTTTATAAACGAATGGATTAAAGGATGAATTGTTTGATGGACAGTCGGGCAGCTACTGGAGGAATTGGTGGATGCATTTAAAAATGGATGAATGGACTGAAGGATAAATCGGTTGGTTAGAAGAAAGGACGACACATGGATGACAGATTAATGGACAGATGTCCAAACTGACTGATAGATGAATACAACATTCCATTTACTTACACACACATATTTTCCACGTTACCAATAAGTCAGGGAAAAATATCGAGAGAAATATGTAATTTTTTCTGAATTTATCCGTACTTGGGGGAGGAGGGGGGGGAGAAATCAAATTCCAGACTGTAGGATCAATGTGGGGAGTTTGTGTAAAATAAAAGGAGAAAACATTTCTATTCTTCTTGGCTAATTTCACCCTCCACTTTGAACGACATGCTAAGGCAAAACGGAGACAGCAGTGCCTCGTCGCAAACCCTCCTCTGTCCGGCGCACACGCTTCAAAAGTTTAGAATCACAGACAGGCACCTGAGACAGCTGATAGGTCCAACTCACACAAGATCTGGGTTTTGATTCAAGGTACTTGAATGCAAAATGGATAACGAGAAACCTAAATATCACAAAATCTGTACTATACTACTGCTTGTGAGTGCGCTTTTAGCTCTCTATTAGGTGTAGGTTCTTCACTAGTTAAGATTAAATGTTTATAAAGCGTTTTTGGTGAGTTTAATTTTTTTTTTGTAGCAGGCTTGCTATGGCACTGGTGTGATTTTGAAGTGGCCAACATATTTTCTGCTGCTTTTCTCACACCTTGATGATAAAAAGAAGTTTGATCCTTCATTCAGGAGGGAAACAAATACTAAACTGACACGGCAAGCTCTGACATCTTTTTCCCGGTTTTCTCAGGATGCTACAGTCCTTCACAGTCCCAACAAGTCAGAGAAACTCTACTTTCTTTTTTTTGTCCTTGGGAAGAGTTGTGTCGGGATCGCAGGGAGACACCAGCTTCTGCTTGTTTTTAAGTTGCCATCACAATGTATATAAATAACCGAAGCTTGTCCCAATGTTGAAGGAAAGACGAATCTTCTGCAGATCACGTGAGGTAGGGCTATTACGACCTCCGTTTACCAGTCAAGCTGCAGCCGATTTGCATGGGATGGATGTGGTTGTCCCGACATTCAGCATTTCGATGATCTGAAACCACCGATCCGAAAGGGCGGAGGCCAAACCGAAGCCTCGGATCATTTCCTTCCCCGCCTACTGTAGCCTGAGCTTTAGCAGTTTCTACTTTGGAGTTAAAGCTTGATCCAGACAAAAAGAAGAAGAAAAAAAAAAGAAAAAAAATATCGGATTGAAGCTCCTCCTGAAATCTCAATCTCTTGATTCCCTTCCAAAACAAAATGAATATTCTGACTCAACTAATGCCAAAATAAAAACCTAAATATGCCAATAATAGTAACAATAGAAAAAAAATGTAGCCAGGCTAAATTTTGACTCGTAACTGAGTGAAAAGGCTTACTCTCATTTTCCTTTAATTAAAGTTTGCTAATAATGTTTCTGGCATTCTGCGGTTATGTCTATTTATCGTAAAACAAAAAGAGAAAGCAACAAAAACACCTCGATAGGCAAATGATCTACAAAAATATATACATACACACATTATATATGCATACATAATGCATATATACACACATAATGCTATACATATATACTGCCTTTATATATACATTTACATATTACACACCGATACTAATTTTGTTTTGTACTCATGGCCACAAATGCACTTTAATGCCCTTAAAAAGAAAAAGGAAATTTAAATGATCTTTCAGTTATTTTCATTAGGAATAATTTCATGGTTTCAATTTGACGACTTTTTATAAAGAGGTTTTTGTGGTTTTGTGACAGCTCTGCTGAGAAAAAATAAAAAATAAAAAGGTTGAGAAAATCTTCAGCTTGGAGGAGTGAGAAGGGCTTCAGAAATGCACTCCCTGCGGTCCAGCCCCAGCGGGTGAGTCGGGGCGGGGGGCTGCGGACCCAGGGTGGCGGGCAGTGATAGAGTACGTTAGACGAGACGCTGAATTTAGTTCCAGATCCGGAGGAAACTGTCCCAGGATCCGGTGGCCACGGCCATGCCGTCAGAGGTCACTCCTAAGCAGCTCACACGATTGTCGTGGCCGGCGAGGACGCCTGCAGGAGGAGGAAGACGAAGCAGAGCCACAGGCTGGTCACAGTCTGTACGTACAGAGGCTTACAAGGATTTCGTCACAAAGAAGTTTTAGGGTTAAACTTATGTTTTTAGATGAGTTTACTTGCAGTTCAATAGGAACTTTTTCACTGCTTTCACCTTCGATCCATATTAAAAATACTTTTTCTGAGACAGTGATCCATAAACAGACTACAGAGCAAATCAATTCAAAGCACAGACAGCTGACAAAGTCTTTGAATCCAGTTTAGAATAACCTCACTTTAAATCCTTTTCTTTTTCTCACAGATTTGATTTTAAGAAAGTGGCAACTTAGAGCTCTTTTTTTTTCCAACTTAATTCTTGCTTCTTATTTCACCAGATTTATAGAGTGAAATAGGAGTAGAAAGAAAAACCTTTACCTGGCTATCTGAAAAGGAAGAGCATTTACAATTAAAGACAGACTTTGTTCATCAACATTACGCTGTGGGAGCTGAAGCCTGGCTATTTGTCTCATACCTGCTCGGTCCCCTTTCAGAGTGTCCCACACGTTGCAGTTGAAGTCGTCGTAGCCGGCTAAAAGCAGACGGCCGCTCTTGGAGAAGGCCACAGAGGTGATGCCACAGATGATGTTGTCATGGCTGTAGGTCATCAGCTCCTGGTCGGCACGTAGGTCAAACAGCCTGCAGGTGGCGTCGTCCGAGCCTGTGCCGAACGCATTACCGTTGGGGAAAAACTGCAGAAAGAAAAAGAAACAACTGCTAAAACTTCAACTGTTCAGTTGGTGTTGTGCCTACTTCGCGTTGTTTTTTGTTTTGTCCAGAAAAAAACAAAACACAATCCTCCAAACTTGAGTTCGTCTGAGGCTAAAATTGCAGAACTCACGCAGACGGCGTTGATGTCAGATACGTGGCCGGTGAAGGACTGCCTGCACATCCCGTCACGGATGTCCCACAGCTTGGAGGTGGCGTCACATGCGCCGGACACAAAAGTCCGGAAGTCTGGACTAAGAGACAGGCTCATCACGTCACCTGTGTGGCCGGTGAAGGAGGTGGCCTGCTGGCCCGTCTCTATGTCCCATAATGCACTTTAAAACAGAAAAAAAGTAAAATAAAGAGTTAGAAAATGTTCTACTCATGACCCAAACAGTTTTTTTTTTTACTCTTAAAGAGACAAACCCAATGATACCAAAATATACCAGAACTAAATAAAAGTACAGCAGTTTTATCATGTAAATCCTGAAGTATCCTCTGTGTACTCAATGGGTGCTGCAGTGTTTTGAATGTGGGGTCTGCTCACCAGGTGGTGTCTCCAGAGCTCGTTAGTATCTGGGAGTCGTCCAAGAAGCGACAACAAGACAAATAACCTGAACATAAACAGAGAACCTGGATCAGAACAGAACTAAGTTTTCCTGAAAACACAATGTAAAATAAGTATTACTGCCATTGCAATCAGGAGAGACGAGACAAAATATGGCAAAGTGGAAATTCTTTTTTAATAAATCCCCCTACCTGTGTGTCCAGGTAGCTCTCGGGTGACTCGCACGTTGCCCTCACGGGTCTTCAGACTGTATATGGAGCAGATGTTGTCCAGGCCTCCGCAGGCCACATAGTTCCCAGAGGGGGCGTAGGCGCACGTCATCACCCATGAAGAACGCAGTGGGATAGCATGCATCTAAATTCAAACAAGAGTTAGTGACAGAAAACTGCAGCCTTCATACAAAGCTTAGAGTCCAAATAAAGGCTTGTGTCTTTTATACAAACTGCTTTGCACTCATTGCAACAAACTGCACCACCCATCTAGATCACAAAATCTGGTTTCTAAATCATGTAACAGCTTCATAGACAGGAAATGAAAATCAGGTTTTATTGCACTTGCATAATTTCACGACATTACTTCTAATTAACTTCTGATTCGTATTCCTGTGCAAAAATATAAAACAGCTTTATAAACTTTATCCCTCAAATTGCGGAGTCAAACATATCACAGTGAATAGTTATTTTTTGTAAAACTCATTATTTAAATAGCATGTTTTCTTGTTTTTAAACGCTGTATAGAATACTGCAAACGCTTCATTCTTCACTGCAATAACAATTTGAGAAAAAAAAAAAATTGTCATTTTAATTTTGCATTGTATTTTAACAATTTTTACCCATTAGCAACTCTGAAACCAAAAATGCTAAATGAATTTGACTAAACCCAAAGATGTCATAGGGCTGGTCAGAAAGATCCTCCATAACCTAATTATAAATAAACTTAAAAGTTTTGAATTTAGTAACTCAAACTTTTCCCCCCATACTCCATATGACCGAATACTATTGCAATAACCATTATTAAGCCCACACACCTTGTTTGTTGTGTAGCTGTCCCAGATGATCAGCTTTCCATCTTGCGAGGCACTGACCAGTAACCTAGAGGCAGGTGAAGCACATCAGCATGACACTCTGCTCATATTCACATCATCAAGCGCAATCTAAGCTACATGCACCTTGTTTATTACAAGCAATGAGTGGCAGCCACCTTAAACACTGCTGTGCTGGATCGTCAGCCTGGAGGTTAAAAAGCTTGTAACGTCACCAATCTCTTACTCCTCTTTTTCCTCTGCATGTCCTAACCCAAGTAACATTCAAACCTTCACTTATGCAAAAGCCAAAACTGTGGTTTACTTAATCTAAGCTGGGAGGAAAATTTGAGTAGGTAGGTGGGGGGAGAGGGCTCTAGATGGCGCAGATGCAGGAACAGCTGGAACCCCTCCCTCTCATCCTGATGGGGTGTTTCCGCCTCTCCGGGTAAAGGAAGTGGTTTGATGGTGCTGCAGTACAATCAAGAGGAGAGCCGTAGTCCTCAAATGTCAGTGGATGTATACTAAACAAATACGAGTCCCCTGGGGGTCACGTAGAAGGTGCTCGGCTCACTTATGCACACTCACACCTTCAACCGAACACACATCTTAAGGAGCAGCCACATAGATCAGGCCTTTACGTAAGTCCAAGTGTGCCATTAAGCACCACCGCATCTTTCAAAAGCATAAAAATATCATGTTGTATTACATTAAGGAGACTTTGTAGATTCATTAAGAAACACCAAAGCTTCTCACAGCTTTAAAGATTTGCCTAATATCAAACAAATGGATCAAAATCACTGGGGCATGTCTTGCTGATTGACATTCTTGTATTTTTTTTTTTCAGGCAAAGGCCTTTTTTTATCATCCTCTTTTAGTTGAAAAAAATATATACTTGTGTAATTTTGATCCAGATCAAATTAGTATATGCAGCTTGTGGAAACAAAAAATACTTTCTATGGCTCAAGATTAGTGCACTGCATGCATACTTATTGTGAACTATAATCCTAACTGTTAATTCTTGGTGCCTCTCAGTGTGCATATTTGCAGCAAATTGTGAAAAAAAAAAAGAAAAAAAGAAGCAGTTTATAAGATCTAGTTTAATGAACATTTAAAGACTACAGAATCTTGCAAAGTTAGATTAGCAAGAAAACAGCAGTAAAAACTGAGATCTTAAAAACTGCATCTGTAATAAGGTAAGCGTTTTCTGCCAAATGTCATTGCTATGCTCATAGCGAAGAGGTAAAACATTGCTAATGCCTTGTTAAAGTGATAGTAAAAGGTGATTATGGTAATATTAGTCATATTAGTAGAGAGGAGTGGGAGAACGGATGGAACTGATTGTTGTTCAGCCCCAGACCTGGGACTGTCGTCACTGCCACATTGCATTGCATTGAGAGAAAGAAAGAGTGACACAAACACACAATAGAGCAAAAGGAAAATATTTTATTACCACTAATTAGAAAAGAGTTTTATTTTTATATATATGTGCTTTAAAGTTATGCTGCACTACAAAGTACTTGAACCAGAACTTTTCATTGGTGCTTCTACAGCAGCTAAAGTACTCAGGATCATAAATATAGATGGAAGATGTACTTTTTTTTTTTTACTTTGCCTGGACTTTGGAACTGACTGTAGATAGATTGCACTAGAGCTGACTGAACAAATTAAGGCAGAAAATAGAGGAAGTAAATACTGCAAAAGCAAGAATCTAAACAGTCAAATCACAGCTTTTAAATGATTTTTTTTTAAAATACACAACTCTTGCAAAAACAAACAAAAAAAACAGATTAACATAAATTTCTACAAATGACAAAGAGAATCTTTACCTGGATTCACTTCCCCAGTGCATTGCATATATCTTGGCCAGGTGTCCCCTGAGAGTACGTCGTGTCCGCATCTGTATCCGGCCCACCGAGTCCAGACCAGCTGTGATCTGCATAAACACAGGAAGACGGGTCACTGGTTGCACTGGAGGGAAAGACTGATGCCAGAACTGGACACAAGCTGAGGCAGCAAAAACAGGATGATACTTAAAAATAAAAAAAAAAACATTAATACTCAGGATTTCCTGGACTTTTATTTATGTACAGTGAAGTTTACATGGTAAAACCACAAACTTCAAATATTCAATTACAATAAATAAATTACGTGGCAAATAAAGCATCGCTAACACCAAATCTTCTGAATTGGATTTTGATATGAACTTTAACTAGGCCAGTCCAACATTCAGCCTGAAGTGGTTCACTTCAAAGCCAGTAAAGTAAAGCAGCTTCTTTTGCAGGTAACTGGTGGAACTGGTTTGGTTCTTAAATACGGTCTGCTACCGATCCAGGGCTTAAAAATAAAAATATCCAGCCTCTTAAATCTATTTTGTGTGTTTGATCAGAATTAAATCACAACATATTGCTGAATGTTTATTAAAATTATCTTTAAAGAGCACAAAAATGTGCTTACCAGCCAAACAAGTAAAAAAAGTAAAAAAGCTGCTAAATGCACGACAAGTGAAAATGACCTCAATGTGGTTCCAATTTGGCTGCCCATGATTATTTATGACATACGCAAAGGTGGAGAACATACCAGAGGTGCATGTGCACAATGTTTTGTTTCAAAAATTAAAATAAAGCTCAACAACCTACAAGGAAAAGAATAACCATGTTCAAAAACTGATACGATCTTTAGCTACTCAGAGATTTTGATCTTAGGGGAGATAATCAGTGTCGCTCTCTCAAAGTGAAAGTGGATGTTAAAGAAACACGGCTAGAGAAGTCTTCGGTGTTTTGTACAAATACACAATTATGCCCGTAGTAAAACCATATTCATGCAAAATAAAGAGATCCAGACCAAAGTGGTTCCTTAAGCATGGAAAACAGAGAATTTCACTTGTGATATTTCTCTGATCACCAAATGATAAATCATCCAGTTCAGCGAAGCAATGTTTCATGAGTATTTCATTACTTTAAGCTGTTGCACCTGCAAACTGTAACGATACATTGAACACAGAGTATACTCATAGCATTATTTGAAAACAAAGGCTCAATAGGCAATTCTTTCACCGAGTTTGTTCACAAACTGTAGTTTAATACACAAATCATACATAAACATGTTTTAGGTCTGACTGAATAAAATAAGTTGTCATGATTTCCTATGTTGACCATCTTGGCTACGATTTGAACACACATCTAGTGAAGATGTGTCTATAATAATTGTTTTAATCACTTTTGAAATTGTGCTTAAACATTCTTACTTTCTTAGTTTTTAAGTTGTAATTTACTTTTTTAGTACATCTATACCAAAACATTTTCATTATTAACATTTCTGTGTTTTTAGGCTTTTTTTCTTGCAGTTTCTCTTTGCACTGTCACTCAACATTGGTCAGCTCTAATATACATTTTAACATTAATTGCAAGACATTTAAAATGTTCGCAATTCACAGTAGATTAAGTGGCAAGTCATTTGTCAGTACGGATGCACAGATACCGCATTTTTCCTAACCGTGTAGTAGTCGCCAGTTTTTACCGAGTTCCACTAAAAGTGATGCTTAATGCTCACTTTTAGTGTGTTTAACATAAATAGAATTAGATTTTTACTGCAGTAAATTGCTAGAAAATTGTTTACAGCCTTGTCACACCAGAACAAAGCTCTTACAATTAACTCATCTTCATTTGTAGGGAAGGAAATGTATTTTTCTATGCATTGTTGAAGACCCTGTATGCAGCTTGTTTCAGTGAGAAAAATTGGTTGACAAAATTACACATCATCTCAAAAAACAGCAAGAAAATGAGAAACAAAAAAATAAACACAGTGGTTTTTGTGTAAGTAGGTCCCTCACCTGTGACAGGGTGGAATCACTGCAGGCTTTCCTGGCATCCTATCAGGAGAAATCAAGAAGGAAGGAAACTCAAAAGTTGAGTAATGGTTTCAGCTGAAGCTGTGCGAGTCATTTCCAAAAGTTTTTATTTTTATTTTTAGTTGTTTTACCCGGATCTGGTTGCGTAGTTGCTCGGCTTCCTGCCGCAACTGTTCGAGCTCACTCATTGTCCCTGTGAGATGCGTTCAGGACACAGTCCGCTGTGAATGCTGGCTGGGTTGAGAAAATACACGAGCCTGCTCGTGCACACACTCACACACGAAACACTTGACCAGCTGACACCTGCAACACAGAGACAGAAATAATGTAAGTTCAACAGGTAAAAGGAATAGCAGCACTTCCATAAGACAAACAAAGGTTTCCTGTTTTGGTTGGGGAGAGCTGCGAGGGTACAACGCTGCCATCCAGTCCCACCAGGGGGATTTCAGGGGCTGGGTGGCAGCCTGGAGGGTGGTCTATCTCTTCAAACACCCTCACTCTGGTTCAAAAGGCCATCTGAACTGGGCCCTGACCTTTCCTTACTCAATCAGCCTTTTGTGTCTTCGCATCGCGCTGCTGGCATGGCCCACCACTGTGCATGCGAGCTCCAAACGAGTGTCTGTGCATCGTGTGGGCCGATCTGGACGGCGTATTAGACAATATGTACAACAGAAACCATTTGAGAGCGAGAGTACATTATGTGAGCACATCTAAGTGTGTCAGATTAAGCATTCATTTGCAAACGCATGCTTGTGTATTTATGCATGTTCAAGTTGCCACTTCCTTTACCTTGGGGAGCCTGAATGTGGGTCACAAAGCACTCAGAAATTCCTCTGAGATGTTTGCACTTCCTCGACCCTGTAGTCTGCTGATTTTCCACCCCATTTCAATGCAATCCACAAATCCAATGTACTGACATTAAATTTTTAGATCCATATTCAATAATTCAACTATTGGGGCCAACACAGGCCTACATATGTCCATAATAAAACACTTGCTCATTATAGATTAGCATAAATGTGAATACTTTCATAATTCTTCAAAAACTAGTCCAGATCAGCCATTTTTAAAATGTCTGAAATCCACTGATGTAGCCTGTTGCTCCTCTCAGCTGACAAGATGGATTCAATGGACTGCTCTTTGTGAGCTCATTTATTTAAGCCTTTGCTGAGGCATTGCAATGCATTCAGCTGCCCATGACAACGTCACTGACGCATCCGAGGAGGAGCTCAGCATCAGCCTGAATCGGAGGCATCTCTACTCTAAAACAGCCATCCATCTGTTATGCACATCTATATGCCTCCATAGGCCGAGGCATCACACAGGGCTGCTTGTGCTCATAATGGGTTTAGAAAGCGCTTTTGTTAAACAATACTGCAATGAGTAACATAACAGTACACATTCAAGAGAGATGGTGTTGATAGTGGTGGTGATGGTGGAGAAGGACTTCAGGCAACACATGCTCTGATTTCAGAAACTACATGAAAGGACTTGCTCACATTATGAAGAAACTACTGCTCAATTAGAAGCAAAAACAGGAAAGAGTCGCCAGATGAATTATCCTAGAAAGTTTTAAGTTGCAGTTTCATTAACAGTAATAGTTCTACAAAAAGAGGGAAGAACATGAGAAAGTCAAGAGGCACAGATAAATCTTATACCACTGTACTGTCACAAAGGTTTGCTGGCTATATTTCTTGATTCAGGATGTTGTCGATCCTGAATATTTTTATTCCACTTGATTTCCAGGAGTTCACTCAGAAGGGGTGTAACAAAGCTGGGCATCACAGAGAATTTACCCCCAAATTAAATAAAGTTTAGATAAGTAAAGTTCAGGATATAGGTGCAGGATTTACCCCAGAAAACTTGCTAAGCCCTGTGCTTGGGGCACCAGGACAGTCATTCATCCAGCCGGCCACCATGTTTTTCAGTTAAAAAATGTTTAAAGGTGACAGGGAATTTCAAAATATCACTTGATTGTTATGCATTTTTGGAAGACATTATTGAAAGATTAAATACCTAAATAACAAGTAGAAAATCTTAAAAAGAGGACATAAAAACTGAGGGAAACCCTGAGGTGGGTACTATCTATTGTTTTATAAAAGAACGGACATCTTTAAAGGAACCAAAGCTGCCTTCATCATAGATATTTATACAAAAATATACAATAACTAAGACCTATGCTACTAAAATAAAATTATAAATGTATTCCTTTACTTCCCTCTCTGTATTTTTCATACATCTAGCAAACCCATTTTCATGTGGAATTCTCCTCTTTCTTTTAACATGTCCTACATGTTTTTAATTCATTTAGGTATCATTTTCTTTTTTTCACCCTTTTGTCTCTCATTACATTTATTTCCATCGCTTTTTAACATTCTGTCTATTTTTTCTGTTTTACTCCTGTATGCAGTACAACTTAATTAGGGAGCATCCATTTTTCAGATTTGAGTTACTTTCTGTTGCTCGAAAGCTTACGGAAATGCAAAGAGTAGTCAAAGGACGCTGGTGATACAGGAAAAACAAAGACAAACAAGGATGCAAATAAAAAAGGGATAACGGAAATGTTGAATATTTTCCTAAAGTATAATAAAAACCCCTTAACAAAAACAGAGGAAGTAAATATATATATATATATATATATATATATATATATATATATATATATATATATATTTTTTTTTTTTTTTTTTTTGTCTGTATAGATGGAAACGGGTGTAAATCACATTTGCAATAATAACAACTTAGCTTGGTAGTTAATTTCCATTTGTTCTTGAACAAATTTCCCACATGCAACTGGCCAATAGTTTTGGTTAAAGAAACAGGCTAAGTGAGCAAAAAGAAAACTGAATTTGTTCTGCCACTTTTCCATTTCAAATTCAGCTTATTCATATTTTGTCAAGTCACAACAAATGTGATTCTAAGGCATTTCACCATGGCTCAACAGGCTCAAATAATTCAGAATATCCATGACTCAACCTTTTTTTTAAATCATTTTATTAAGAAGTTTTTTTTTTTACCCAACTTCACCTTCCACCAGTATCTTACTCTACATTACATTCTAAACATCTCCCACTTACTGAGGAGTAAACCAAGTACATTTTGGTATGTCATAGCATGAGTTAAAGAATCAAAGGGGTGTCTCTGCCAGGTGTGAACTTGTTCCTACTGACGAAACATCAGGAGAATGGAGGAAGTGATATCAAGATTCCAGTAAGGTGGAAATTAATAATCTACGTTCTGGTCAACCAGTTAATGTCATTTAAATGTAAAGCGTCAATATTTACCGGAATGTCACTGACTTATAGCTTTTGTCCAAAAATGTAATTATAGCAACATCGGAGGTTGCATTTTATGGTTAATTTGCTTACTTTAGATAAACATTTTAATCCAGTTACATTAGACAAAAACAGAACTTCACCCTAAATGTTTATCACTCTGTGACCAAAAATACAGTATTTGATATTGTGTTTCTCCTATTTGGTTCTCTATATTTCCCATCAATTATTAAGAACTGTGACAGCAGGCAGTCAATGGAAAAAATACTTTTACAATAAGAGTTTCCTATTGCAAGAGCTTAACAATATTTAGATACCAAACATTAAAGTTAGGCATCTAAACCACATGAGACCATATTTATTTAAAGGACCATAAGTCTAGTTTAAAACCCTAATTTATTCTTAATTGTAATAATAATAAAAAAAGAGTAATATCACTGAAGTCATGTCAAATGTTTCAATTTCACAAAATCAATTTTTTTCAAACCTTAGTTTAAACAAAGTCTGTATAATTTAATGGAACCTAAACTGCCTGGATTGGAGACACTTAAACATAAATATAAAAGTTTAATCTATATCAGAATTTAATCTAATAAAAATTTGACACAAGTGAAGAGTCTAATTTTACTAGACACAAGTGAAGACAAAGTAAGATCCTGCACACTGCCTGTCAGCTGGCTAAATAAAAACCCTACAATTTCCCCCCAGTTAGTAGAAAAATAAAAATCACAACATTTGCAGAGCTATGTAAGCGTCAACGATAGCTTACACATGGATGGACGTTTTCTGACATCAATAAAAATTACATAAAAGCTTAAGACCATAAACAGGTGTAACCTTGTAATTCATTCATTTTGTTTACCACCTGAAATCAATAAACATGCAGAACATTTAACCGCTTTTTTTGTGTGTGAAAACTAATCAGAGCATTTGATTAACAGTTCAGAAAGCAAACATAGCTAATCTAAAATAATTGAAAACTCTGGTCATTTTTTTGTTTCTTTTCTATATTTAATCATTAAAAAAAACTACTTATCTTTTTAAATGATCCTTACATAAATCGTTTACAGTTACTCCAACAAACAAGAACCTGTTCTTAAACAGGAGACTTGAAAATTTTGACATATTCGGCTGTTTTTTGATACTAGACCCAGCAAAACTAGTTACCACTTGTTGATGACATGATGAAACCAGCAGATTGACGACATGATTCACTGGGTTACTTCACAGCTTCAGACAAACACCGGACTCCCAACCACAGACAAAAGCGTAGTTAAAAATCACGTTAAATTAAATAAAGTGTGTTTTCCCAGGCAGATGTAGTGGAGATGCGTCTGTGGAGCCTGAGGCAGGGCCCCTGTCACACCACCAGTTGATACTGATAGGAAGGCGGACTGTGTATTAATTACTAAGAAACAGGGGGAAAAGCTGCGTAGAGGCCTGCGCAACAAGAAAACTTACTGAGAGAAAAGCTGGTTAACAAAAACGTAAATACAAGTAAAAAAAATAAAAATAAATAGTGACAGTTTTCTTGCTCGTAGTTTCCGCCCTACAGGCGGTAAAAGGCCGCGTTTTGGACAGCTGAGGATTTTGTAGGCAGTAGAAAGCTTCAAGGAGGGGAAAACACAGAACTGAGCCATTAAAAAGCCTGGGAGCAGTTATTTCAACTGCCACAACCGCTGCCGACGGGGACATTTCATGGTTCTGGGCAATTCTGGACTCCACCGATACTGCGAAAACAAAAATAAACCCGCTCCGAGCAAAAACAGGAAATAGCCTTCAAACACACGCGCGCGCGTGCACACACACACACAAACAAACAGAGAGAGAGAGAGAGACAACCAAAATACCAAATACGAGATTGCACGTCCTCACCTGAAACAGAGGCGTTTGGGCTCAGTCCTGTTCCTTCAGTCCGAGTCGCACCGATATGTTTTCACACGACAGCCATGGCCTCAGCTGGAAGAGGGCGGGGGGAGACCGTGGAGAGGAGCCGCGTTAATTTCCACACAATTTAATCCGCTTTCGGGGTCAGAAGGGAGCACCCACTCGGATCGGATTTGACTGAAAATTTCACCAAGCAGGCTAATCACCACACCCATGAAAGTGGGAACATGGCAACAGCCTACATTGGGGGGTGCAGGCGAGCTTACATGCTTCGTATTTTAATTTATTTCATCATAAAATCAGAATGAAAAAAACGTCCTGGCTTTAAATCTATGTATATTTAAGTCAGTGATGAAAACAGGCTTTTTATTCGACTACTTTTTCTTGTTGAGCATACTCGGAAAATGTCTGAAAGTGTTTGTGTCCCCTCCCACTAAAATGGTACAGTCTGCCAGCCCCTCTACAAAAAGGAACCGACTGGGATACAGGAAACAAATATTAGAACTCTGAAACTGTTTTAAAATAAAAAGTAGTAAATAAAGTAGGAGCAGTTGTAATGTTGCAACACTTATGGTTTATTTATTCATAAATACGAAAAAAAATCCTTAAAAATGCAGCACATTTATTTGTTTCTTTTAAAGCATCACCTATGTGTATTTTTTCTGTAACAAGTGATCATATCACACACAGTAAGACCACACCTGGGTAATGAAACATAGATTTTCACTGCCGAATTTCACAAAATGAGAAGTTTTAAAATAGGGCATGAGAGAAATCACTGCTAATTCTGCTTTTTATGCTGACTTGAGTCAGTGACATCACACAAGGCAGGAGAAGGTCAATTCTGCCCTTTAATAAATGATACTACTATTTTACCTCCACCCTTTCCATTCCACTTTTATGGCTGTAAACAAACCATTTTGTTGTCAGAGTTCAACTGCTGATTGGTGAGTAGAAGGGGAGACTTTTGAAAGAAGAATTTGATTAAAAACGCGACACTAAATGCTTGTGGCAAAACAAAAACAAAGATTCTTAAAACAATTCTGATCAATTGCCTTACACTTTATGTGAGGTTACCAGAGGCATGTGAATGTTGATCTGGGGAAGAAAAGAACAAAACAAATAGAAAAGGTGATTGAGTTCACAGCAAGTGTCTTAAAATTGAGATCCTTTACCTATTGGGTAATCATAGTAGTAAGAGAGTGCAAAGGTCTTATACTGAACCTCTCATAATGGTCACACTTAAAATACAACCATAATAATAATAATCAAATCAATATCAAATTTCTGCCCAATTACCTGTTTTTGCAACCAAATTCTTTCTGTCACTCTGGAGTTTTTATAATCTCATTGTACATTTGTAAAGACAAACACTACCAAGCAAGAAACAACGGTTCCCTACAAATTGACTTCCATTTTTATTACTGCAGCTGATATTTATTTATTTTTAAAACAATGGTTACAGTTATAATCTTGCGGATGGAAGCTCGGTCCAGAATAAAGGGCTTTTTCCCATTGATGTTTAATGTTCCTACTCCATCTTCTGTCTATTGATAGACTTCTGGTTATGCCATGAATAATGACACTTCCTCATTGTGTCCGCTCAGGTCACAAAACATTTAAATCTTTGCATTTTCTCATGTTCTACCACCGTATTATCCAAACACTCGATACCAGTCTCTGCCATTCAGGTTTGGTGTACAGAGCAGGTGTCACCCTCTTTAAAGAAAGTCATGAGCAGAAGAAGCTTTGAGATTTAAATTTTGTGTAAAATTTAAACAGTAGTTTAGCAAGACATCTGAAATGCAAAAATAAAGAGTTAAATAAGCTATATGAGTTGCAGCTTCAACTCATATAAGCCAGACCTTATATGTGACTTAGACAAAGCTTTAAACATAAAACTGTCACCAACCTTTTAACTTAGTTGTCTTGTATAAAATAAGCCTTAGACTTGCACAAAACGCAACCTAAAGTTTTTACCTAATCTGAAATGAACTAGAAAAACCTTATTAGTTTTCTTCATCCACGTTCAGATATTCTGGTGGTTACAAAAGAATGAAAACCAATACCTAAAGTTATTTATAAGTTAGCTTTAGGATAAAATCCAAAATATGCAAATGTCTAATTTTGCATGGCGCCAGGAGACAGCTGTGCCGCTGTGTGCTTAGCCTGCATCGAGCGCATTCAAAAGGATCTCTCTCTATCTCTCTCTCTGCTTTAGGATGGGATGAATTTTTTATAGGGCCTATGAAAGGGAGCAGTGGGATAGGCTTTTCCAAATCTCTGCACGAGCCATAATCAATTGAGGGAGGATGAAAGTTTCACCAGGCCCTAGTTTCCTTTGGGAGATGCATGGGGTCAGATTAAGTCTATTTGAATTCACTTACACAGCGGTGGTTTAGGTGTGTCTCACCAATTTACCCCTAAACAGATTAAGAGGATTAGAATTAACATGATAGCAGATTATGTTAGAATGGGGTTATTATTAATGCATCTTGGATTATGTGGCTCTTATCCTTGCAAGCATCACTGGCGAAAACTAGTAAAGGGAGAACAATTATTTAGTTTTTGCACCACCTTAAATACAATACACCACAAAATAAGACACCACGTCTTGTGCTCTGAGAGTCCAGTAAGCAGAATAAGAGTGAATTTCATCAGCCAGTCAGTGTCACAGTCAGCAAAAGCATCTCATTGGCCAATCAGGTTCCCTGGTCTATTGCTTGGCAACCAAAAGGAAAGGAGGTAGGGCAAATTGGCAATTTAAAAATAGCACGTCAATGGCCTTGTGTCTGGAAAAAAAAAAAGAAAAGAAAATACGTGGGGAAGGCTATTAATAGCAGAGTGGGACCCATGACGGGCATTGTATACAGTAACACATTTGTAATGTGGCTTGCGTGTGAGACAATGTATTTGCATGGATGCAAATTTAGCAAGTAGCAGAACTCAGCGACGCACAAAATAACAGTGTTGTGGATAAAATCACATCATTTGAATATGATGGTTGTTTTTATAGGGTTCATTGGAAACATCTCATGTTATTTTTCTCATGCTATTTTCCTCCCAAAATGGTCTACAGGTTTCTGCAGTGTCCTGCTGCTGGTTAGATGCTGCTTTGCATAAATGCAAAAAAAGAAGAAACTTTTGCAAATTAGAATGCATTAACAGTTGTTTTGTTCGTGAACAGGTTTGCAAGTTAAAAGGCAATTTAGGACTTGGTCTTTCACATAAATAGGCATATAATAATATCTGGTATTTTCATTTGATTTATTAATTTTGTTTTTACTTGAAGAACTTCTAAGAGTCAGGTATTGAGCCAACATATTAAACACATTAACATTTCACCACACAGTAAAGCATGTTTCTGAAGTCACTGATCTTCAGAGCAAACCATTACCAAATATCTTAGGAATTGTGAATTTTCAAAGATGACAGCAGTTCATACTTGACCAGACCAAATAGAAATAGGAGAACATTTTCAACGCATGATTTATCTGCATGTTATTTTTTTTCTCCACTCCTGGTGACACCGACCGCCTTCACGTAATACTTCCAGTGTATCAAAGAAAATTAAAAGGTGGAGCAAGAGTAGAACCTTAAAAGGCTTTATCTGGGCCGTCTTATCCACCAGACATCTCTCGGGGAGGCTGGCCGTTGCCAGAGTAACCATCATAAATGGCAAGTGACGTCAAGAAGGTGGGAGAAACACCAGGGAGAGCCGGAGCTGCTATGCATTATGGATTATTGAAGAAAGGATCCTCTTGAAGTGTGCAAAGTGACTTAAAATATGCGTGCCTTGCTGAGGTTTCTACACCCGTCTTCTCTTTTTTATTCGTGATGGGGAAAATGGAAGATGACAGTTCCAGCACTGTATTTGCTGACTATCAAACCTTTAAATATATATATATTATATATATATATATATATATATATATATATATATATTATATATATATATATATATATATATATAATTTGTTAACATATTTTAACAAGTTGAAGTCAAAACTTCAGCTTGCAACAGTGTGGTTTGTCCGTTCAAATTCAGACTCTTGATGGGAGATTGGTTGAATAAATGAAAAACAAAATAAACTACGAATCATTCTACGAGTACCATAGGTTTAGTTCTTCTATAATTTGATTGTGTATGGGAGGGTCATAGAAGCAAACCTCCTTGTAATAGTCAGCTTTTTTCAAGTCCTTTTAGGCCTCAAGTGTAGCCTATATGTGAAAGAAAATTATCCCTTGTGATTAAGATTGTTTTGGCATGCAGGAATAATATTTTTTCATCAATAAAATCCATTACAATTTCCCAGTTTTTCTTCTAAAATGCCTCATGTTACAACTTGGACGGAATCAGTGAAGCGAAGATGGAAGTTTTTTTTTTTTTTTGCACGAGAAGCTGTAGAGGAAATGAACAAAGTGAAGAAGTGAGATTACTTCATGATAGGGGAATCCCAGATGCTTCTGTAAAAATCACAGGTCGACAGCCAACACAAAGCATAACAGGGTCTGTTTCCAAAAAGTGAATTTTACAACTTGTGAAGAGAGGGGGAGAAATTAGAGGAAGTGAGGAACAACCCTGGTGTGCTAATGCCACCATTTTCAAATGCCTCCCATCATTGCTGCACCAATATGAGATGATCATTAATTTATTAACAGGAGCTCATAATTATTTTTGCTTGACATTTTGGTGCACCACAGGTTGTGAACATGGAATAAGATCAGCATATTACCTCTTAACTACCTGAAAGCCAAACACAAGCCTTCATAACAGATAAATCAAGTAATTGGACAATCTTTCCTAAAACACCTAGAGCTCATATTGGCAGTTGTTTAAGCTCAACATGTCTCCGTTTTAATTCAATGGTTTTACGACAGCATATTTTAGAAAAATCTGTTTTTCAAAGCTGTGGCAGTACAGACGAGATGACTAAAATCTCACTCATGCTGAAACTGTGCAGAAAAGAAAACCTAGATAATTAAAAATAGTTGAGACTTTTCTACCTTTTTGCAGAGAAGATGAGACGCAGAGGAAGTGGACTGCATAAGTCCTGAATGACATGGACTGTGAGACGCACACAGTGCTGTGGTTTCGCTTCTTCTTTTCAGCTGTGAGTGGAGTAGATGCTGCTGGGAGAGGTCATAAATAAATGGAGAGTAAAAGCAGAGCTGGTGTATGAGTGGAGAGCAGCGGAGTGGGAGGGTGAGAACACTGG